AAAACATTTCCTCAAATTCACAAATTAACATTGAACCCTAAAAAAGCATAAAAGAGAAACAATTTCACCAACAGTCAGAAACTCACAGGAAACACTGTATTTCACATTTGTGTTTCACTGGAAGCAGAATGAAAGATGAATATTTCCTCCTCTTATGAAGTGAACTTAAGGTGCAAGACTGTCAAATCCATTAAGACACAACAACTGCCACAGGCCATTTACCTCAATCTACCCTTATCTGCAGCTTCTTTGTACAAACAAACATAAAAGTCAGGTTTAGTCAAAGGATTAAAAATGCCAGGAGCAAGAGAGTGTCAACTGGGTTTAAAGGTAACATATCCATCTTTAATCACAACATTTTAAAAAGAGATAATATACTAAACATAACCAGGTTATATTATTCTTCAACAGAAATTACGCAATTACTCCCTAAGCTTCACGGATGAACTTCTCTCTTTCATCCAAACTTAGCAGGAGAACCTGAACGCCCACAAAAACGAAGGCTCCTTTCCATGTTGAGTAGAAACCTGCTGGCACAGGTGCGTACGAGCACGCTGACAGATGGAGAGGTGCCCAGCTGAAGGTCAGCGCCTGGACGGCCGAAGGAACGGCAGCAAAACCCCGGCCACAGAGGAAGCGTTCGGGTTCAGGCTCCCCACAGCTCCCTCCACCACCCATCACTCTCAGAGCTCCAGCTATGCACTGACCACCGAGAGGTGAGGGCACGCTTTGGCTGCTTGGAAACAGAAGTGTGTATTTGTTTTTGACCGTGGCGATGAAACGAAAGAGCGGATTTTTAGCTCTACGTCTCCTGATTTCATCCTCTGCAAAAGACCTAAAAGAAAGTCCTCCACTGTGGGACTGAGCCGAGGAGGTGAAGAGCCGCTCTGGAAATATCAATATCCCCGCTTCAGTCAAGGGAACATGCTGATTCAACACTTTTCTATCTCCAGGAGTACATAGTTCAGTGATAAACTGCTTACTGTTGTTGCAAATTGACAATGCCACAGAGTGTTCAATAATAAAAGCGAAAATATTAGAAACGACCAGACAGCTATTTTCTCTGGGAGCAAAACCAAAAGCTTAGCTGTGCGAGCATAAAGTGACACGAGCGGTTCTGTCACTGCTGTCATCTTTTTGGCATAATTACAGAGGCTTTTACCACCTCTTTTCGAATCCTTGAGAGCAGAACTGGTCATTTAAATCCCACAGATTTATGAGTAAATCTGTTAATTCCTAAGAGGGCTGTGATTTGGCAGAAAAGGCCCCTGATGCAATAGCCCAGCGCCTCTGAGGCAGCAGTCGTTTACACGTGTAACGGCGCTCCGCTGAACCCCAGTGATCTGGCCGTGACCTAACAATGGACCACAGAAATGCTGCACCAGCAAAGCGGGTTTGACACAGAAAGAGAGACTGACGCAGGTGTGTGCGTGCGGGCACGGGCAGGTGGATGATATGTAATCAGAGGCATTTTATCTGCGACGTGTCCCCCACCGGAGCGGCAAAAAACTCCAGCTACACTTTGAAAGAGTCGGAAGCAGACTTGTTCGATCTTTATGTCAGTTTGAAACACGTTTGCAAAGTCAGTACAGCACGAAACAAAATGCCATATTCACCACTCCGGTCGACAAATTTGCTTTCACTTAAAGTTAATTTAAACCAATTATTTTAAAAAAAAAACTATTTGAAACTGAAAGCATAGGATGTTTTAAACGCACCACGATGCCACTGAGGGCTCCTGACGGGCTGGGTCTGAATGTGGGATGGCTTGTGTGGATCCAATTTCCAAAGAGCCCAAAGTTAAAATAAACATTAACAAAAATTTGCACCCTGGAGATGCGTCCGCGTTCACTCATCCTTAAAGGTGCTGCAGTTGGCATTTACTGAACTGTTCATTTAACAGGGCAACCAAGCCTTTAATACTTCCTCTGCTGTGTCAGGCATGTTTCCACACTCTGAGCTTGATTTACAGAGTGGTGGCACATTCATTACTGGGGCACCCGAAAAAGTGATGATTTTGCCTGAAAAATTCAAATGAAAAAAAAAAAAGTCTCCACATGACATTTTTTGCTACAGACTTTCAAACAACCACTTTTCCAGTTTTTGCTTTATGGGTGCATCGTGGGTGTATGTTGCATCAGTGAAACAATATGTCCTTTTACAGAGCGATGAATGACTAATTAAAGAGATGAGTGATTGAGCAATTATTAGCCTTTTTCAAAATAATCAGCATCAGTCATTGTTTGAGAACAGTGAAAATGAAAAGCAAAGGCAGAATGCCTGCTGTGAAACGGCATCTATGTTTACCAAGAGGTTATTTTTCAATTAATTCATCCCGTTTTCATATTCAAAATAACAGTTTCCATTTCTAGCACAGATATATTCAAGTAATCAAATACAAAGCACTCCTACAGCCTGAAACATATGAATACTTTGTGGATAGAGGATGAAAAACATTTAAATGGCTGCATATTTTAGCACTCTGCCCTGTAAAGAATGACTGCCCTTTTAAAAAAGATTCTGCTTCTTCCTCATAACATTATATTGGTCAAATTTAGTTCCAAATCAAACAACTATATTTGAACTAATATTAGAACAAGAGCTCTTCAAACAAAAGCATCACCCATGGCACACTTCTCAGTTATAAGTCATGTATTAAACATTACAAATGACTTAATATGTATCCCTAAAAGTCCTCATCAACTTTTTAGCTTTGGCATATTTAGCAAGGGTGTGACATTCCCATTATCATCATTTGAACCCTAACTTCTAAGACTTGCGGGGATTTTTTTGTTGTTGTTTTTGTTACATTTACATCAAGGTTTAACAAGGCATGAAAAAACAAAAACTCAATCCAATAACGTCCACAGACTTCTCCGTCAGCAGTAGAAAGCAGTGGTTAAGGGGTCAGAAATAGGCACAAAGTGTGGAGTTATAACACGCTAATAGGTCCCGAATGGAGCCTAGAAAACAACAACAGAGGGGCAGCCGCTGGGAAACAGGCAGAAACATCAGGACCAGGGGCTAATGTTAGCAGATGTGAGGCACCGAGAATCAGGCTAGCGAGCCTCAGTGGTCGGCTATTTCCAAGGCTATGCATAAAAAATGACCTGCCGCAGAGTTGACACAGCGTGTGCACCCGCAACAACTTACCTTGGGCTTGTACAGCCACTTTCGAAAGCGGTTCATCGTCACCTCGCCACCTTCCTTTGTCACCAACCCCTCCTCTCCTCTCCTCTACCTGCCCGTGTTCCTGACACTCACCCGCGGTTGGTTGCTAAGCTAGCTAGCGCTGGTCCGGACCGGAGCGTAAAGACACAATGTACTGCAAGTTGTCCTAAATGCTACCGCGCGGCACTGACTATCAACGATGGAGATATTCGGAAACTTGTTCCCATCGTCCCCGAATGGCGACGGTCAGCCTGTCTCCCCCGCACGGCCACTTTTTAAGTCCCGAAGATACAGACAAGCGGAGCGCCCACCGACGGCTCCACTGTTCTCTGCCCCGCTACTTGATGACAGTCACGTTGACAACATTCACCTCCCACTTTCCCAGGAAATGATGCCTTCAAGTGCCTCTCCCCCACACCGTGCTCCAAACTGCCAGAGGGAGCCACACCATGGACGGATGCGAGGGATGCAAAACTGGGCACTGAGAATAGTGGGGGCCCAAACACTATTTTATACATGCAGTGATAAAAATAAATATTGCTTCCATATAATGGTGTTTTCTTTCTCTCTCTAATCATCATTGTGTCTTTACATTCAGTTTGTGTTCCTATCATAGTTTTGCCTCTCTTTCTATGCAAATGTTTAAAGCTGTTTAAACATCATGAAATGTATTCAATAGTTAGTGTATTTGGAGTTCCTTGTCAGCGTATGTGTCTTTTTAGATATTTCATACTTGTTGTCATTATGTGTCACAATCAACTAAGCTTTTGAGTTCCAATTAAGTGTGTTTTCAAGCTGTATATGGATCATAACAACGAATCATGTCATCTGACTTAAAATGGCTTTCCAAATATCCTCTAAAAAATGATCATAAGTTACAATCTAAATGCCCTCTGCTGACAGGTTTGCTCTTATCAGGACTCATATCGTTTTGCAGTTCACAACAAAATGAAAAGCAACTATAATTATCCATAAAGCCTCACCGGTTTCACTAATTGCTGTTTTATTAACGAAAAAGAAGATGCCAGTCCATCGCACACTGTTCTTGCTCTACTTTTAGGATGTGTGATAATCATTAACTTACAGATTTTGCACTTGAAGCCAAAGACCACTGCTTTAACTTTACATACTGCTGGCGTACAGCCAGGGTGAATTATTGCTCGTGATTTATTCTGTAAGTGTCAGCACAGATTTGCAACCAGAGACCAGCCAGAGACTTTACTCAGGCACCCTCTGAAAAACAGAATATGTTAACCAGATTAAGGGAGGCAGTCCGATGAATTATTGTGAAGCTGGTTCAACACTCCACAGTGTGTGATTTGTTCTGTCATTACATTTTTTCTGTGACAAATGAAGTGTAAAACAAGTCATTTTCCCATAAACGCAATTTCTACGATAGTTTAATTCGTTTTTTTTAAAATGAGCAGGCCCAATGCTTTCATTTTGTTTCTCTCATGTTGTCTCCTCGTTTTGAGTTTATTTCGTCGACGTGAACATCTCGTGTTAGTTGTAATATTTCCAACAGAACGGGAAGGCAACGCACAGGTTTTACATACGTCACATTACGCTACGTCATTATTATTGTTATGGCAGCCAACAAAGGATCAAGATGCCACTCTGTGAAGCCGCGTGGATTAAAACAAGGCATGACTTAGAATGTTTCAGCAAAGAGTCAGAAAATGTAACACATCTAAGAAATTTCCCCAAAGTGATAAAATGTTTCATTTCTCGAAAAAGGGGAGGAGACATTTTTGTTTACATGTTTTGTGTTGCTAAGCAACACCTTGACGTGAATAGGTTGAAGATGCACTCAAACTGCTCCCCGAGGTTTGTCAGGTAGAATAACTTTAATTTGATCAGTGTGTAGCATTCATGATACCTACATTTAAACACAACACACAATTTCTAAAAACATATGTAATAACCTTCTGCTCTGTAGGTCTCTTTGGTGGGTTTAAAATGGCATCAAGCTACGTTTCACTTGTGAAGGAAAGCATTGTGCTGCTTGATAAGTTCAGAGCTGACAGGCGATGTCTGGATGACTTTATAGAGGATGCTTTGAAGGATCTGGAGGTATGTTTACAAAGAACAGTGTTCATGGGATGGCTGTGCTGTGACGTCTGGCGAATGATTTCCTCTGTGTTGCAGACAACTGATACTCTTCAGAGGACATTTATCCTTGATGTTGTTTCTGGATGCACTGAATACAAAAAGTTGTTGGATGTTGTTGTCAATGCATTTTATGGCCAGAAGGGGAAACAGCTGTCCAGAGGTGATCACAGCCAGTATGTCGGTAAGTCACATTTTTCGCTGCCAGGTTCATGATGGTTAATTGTGATCTGAATTAAACAAAAGGACTACCGGCATGCTAATGAAGCTGTTTTGCTCCCCAGTTATTTGCTACCTCACCATGTTTGCTCTTGATGAACTTGGCCTGCAGCACTTTTGCAACATTGTCAAATCTCTGGGCATCAAGAAGATGCACACAGTGAGTTTCTGAACACATCTGTGAAAAGTTCATAATCTTATAATCTCATCACATGCTCAGTGGAATTGTGTTTTTGTGTGGTTAGTTCTTGAGTTTCTTCTTCTCAAACCTTACTTCATGGATACAAGAAGAGTGGAACGGTATATATGATGCTGCCTTTGTGGAGAAGCACTGGATGGGCCCATTGCTCAGGTGCGAAACGATAACAACTGGAGACCATATTTAGGCAACTAATGCTATCTCAAACTCAAAGAGCAAAAGTATACCTGTGTGTATTTTAGGTGGCGTCCTGAGATCAATACCCTCATGGATCAGCTTGCTGCCAAAATATCTCAAGGGAGTCAGATCAAGAAAGCTCCAGTTAAAACCACCAAGCCCCTGGAGTTCTCACTGACCAAACCTAAACCCAGACCTCTTCTGATGCCAGAGCTCATCCCACAGCAGGAAAAATGCAAACCAGTCAGTCAGCAACAAACATGATGCTATTCATCCTTTCCCTTTGACAAGGAACATTTAGTTTCCTTGGATTCTGTCCTCTTTTTTTCTCCGAATATACCCTTAATAATAGTTGCAAATTATACTGTAACTGCTGCCTCTCATAGTGCATTTCGTTTGTAGGTACCAGACAGCACCTACAGGGCTCCGAAGGAGACACAGATAATAGGAGAGATCAAAGAAAAGAACCATCAAAAGGCTGAGGTACAGTATGCCCTTTACCATTATCCTGAGAGATAAAACATGTCAAGGAAAGGAAAGGTAGTCCAGTCAATAACTGTAACACAAGAGAAAACAAGCTCCATATTTAATTTTTAAATGTCATCAACATGATGTCTTCTGTCAGTTACCATTAAACTGATTTCAGTACATGCCATTATATTTACCTGTTATTCTGTTTTCCACTGAAGGAGCTTCTGTATGAGGCAAATATAACACAGTTCAGATGTGTAAATCCACAAAAGTCTGAACACACTCAGGTATGAACCATCTCCTCTTTTTGCATGGTTACTCAGAATTAGTCATGCTCAAAACGACTTATTCACATTCAATCTTGTCAACTCTCCTTTTCACCAATGAAATTCCATAATTAATTAATCGATAACCATTATCCACTTCTATCAAATAAGGCTGAACACACGGTTAAAGCTTGTGCTGAGTCATCCTTTCTTTTGCAGAGATCGGTTGCCCAGATTATGGAGGAACAGGACTCAAAGCTCCAGTTTAACTCATTTCAAGCCTCTGGACTTCCTCCCACTATTAAGGTGGGAGCTGCTTCAGTGAATGAGTTGCAAGGATGATATCAGCTTATACGTGTTTATTTATGGTATTTTTCTCGTATCTTCTTCCTAGCGGGCTAACAGCCGTTCCGTCAAGCTGAACAACGCGGCCATTCTGAGGAGAGAGGCTCTGTGCGACCGTGAGGTGGAGAAGGAGCTGCAGAGGTACTCCACATTAGCAATACCTGGACATATTTCCAGCACTGATACATTCTAATCATGATGAGCGTGAGCACAACTCGCCACAGGCTGTGAAGTACAAGCTCAAAAAAAGAAAAAGACAATGAAAATGAAGAAAAAAGGTTTTTAGAGTGACATACAAATTGCTTTAAAAGCTGTGCTGTGTTGCCTTTTTATTTCCGAATACTTCTTCAGACTGTGGAGGATGTGCTTTTAAAAGTCAAATGCCTTGCCTCTCTTGTTTGATGCATAATTTGTGCAGCGTCATCCTGTTGCAATATATACCAAACCTATCTTGTAACAAAAAAAAAACAACATTTTGGAGGTCATGCCCTCCAGCTCTCACTGGTACCAATTTTGTTTTTACTTCCCACATCTTTTCAACTTCCTCTTTCAGCTCTTTGTGTTTTGTTTTTTTCAGCTTCTCGTTTTTCTCCTTTATGAGGTTTTCACTGAGAAATGCTTCCTCTGTAGACTCTGAATCTGGAATTCTCTCATTACTATAACTCTTACCTCGTTTGCAGGAATCTGACTTCAGAACGGCACCCTGCTACTAAGTCCTGGTTGTTCTCAGAGGCCCTGGGCCTGGTCTGTCTGTTGAACGAGATCCTGGTCTCTATTTTTCTTGATTTCATCGATTATGGCCATTGTACTTTTTTTTTTTCTCAATGTTTTGAGAGACTGGGTTGTACATTTCGACCTCAGTGTGGCTGCTTCACTGCACTGATCTAAACTAATTCTCACAACTTTGTGTTTGCATTGAAACGCAGAATCCAGCAGCTGTTGCAGGGAGGCCGAGAGCCTTCATCCTTCCTGCAGTGGCAGAGGGAGATGCTCCAGAGGGACCTTCAGGAGAGGCTGCCCATGATCGAGCGAAAACGCCTGGAGACACGGATCACTGACGAGGAGGTGGCTTTGGCCCGTAAACAAGTTGTGGAGCGTAACCAGAGGGCTGCACAGCTAAAGAAAGAAGAAGTGAGTAATTATCCTTTGACAATGATTTTAAAACAAGAATAGCGCTCCACACAAGATTACACAGTGCTTTAAAGCGTGTGAAGGCAGAGGAAATGAATTACACAAAGCATTCTGCTCTCTTCCAACTTCGCCAGAAGAAAGACTTTCATCCACGCATAAAACTGTGTTTTTAATGGTTGCTTTGTTTTTTGTTAGACTGCCCAACTGATGCAGAGATACGCCGAAAAGCGTTTGCAAGAGGAAAAAGAACTGAGAGACTTGGTGCAACAGGTCGCAGAGGGCCACAAGAATTCAAAAGCAGCTCAAGAGAAACTGCAGAAGTGGAAGCAAAGCATTGGTACTTAGATTACATTAAAGGAGCTTCTTTAGGGATGATTGTTTTCTTTCAATTACTGACCATTTCACGCTTGCTTCTCAGTGAAGGAAGTCTCGCAGCAAAGCCAGGAGCTCCTTCGTCAAGCACTAGAAGAAGAACAAGCAAAGCTTCACAGACGATTTGAGATAATCCATGAAATCCACTCCATCGAATCGCTTCCTCACATCAGAGTCAACAAATTTGACGAAACGCAGGTGAGTGACAGGGCTCGCGTTTCACCCGCGTTCCCGAGGACTTCATCCAGACTGAGCTCTTCCTGTCAGACTGCAGGCCACGAGCTGAGGGCGGAGATGTCGCTGGCCGAGCTGAAGGAGCGGCTGGCCCTGCTGAGGGCGGCGCGGCAGTCAGAGGAGGAGGAGAGACGGAGCCACATCCTGGAGGAGAAGCAGCAGCAGAAGAAGCTCCTGCTGGAGAGGCTGGACGCCATTGAAACCCACAGAAGAGAACTCGTAAAGGCTTCTGACACCAGGTCAGGAGAACGTCCGCCTCGGCCTTGATCGCAGCCGAAAGGTAAAAACTCACAAGCACAGCAGAGAGATTCATGATGGCTGTTTGATTCGTGGCAGGAAAGAGGAGAAGAAGGCCAAGCAGGACTTCTTCCAGCAGGTGGTGGCTCAGGATGAGACTGTTTTGGCTCTAAGGAGGAAGCTCGAGGAGAAAAAACAGGAGCGCCAGAGATGGAAACACACGGAAAGCAGTGACGCCAAACCCAGTAGACGGACAACGGCGCCCACTGTGGGCCACGCGGGGAACCACAGACAGGTGACTTCCCACCAACTGTTTGGACGGACTATTCTGACCAAGTGTGGCTTTGTATTTTTTGTATTTTAAAACAGCTAAACTTATCGTCACTTCTCCCCCTGTTTTCTTTATTTTGCCAGAGTTTAAATGAGAAAAGCTGGGAGGAGCTCGAACAGAACTTAATGCGCTGCATCCAGGACACTCCGGATGACATTTCATGGAGAGATACACCTAAAACTCAATATTAATATGTTAAATGTTGCAACATTTAATATATATATATATATACATATAATTTTAAAAGTAAACAACTTCTCTCTTTGCTCATAAAATTCAGTTTCATACATAAAAACCTGACTCATCAACACAGATTGCTGCTCTTTTTTTCATGTTTGTTCATTTTAGCATGTGCAGTGTATATTCGGAACATTTTTCGTTATTCTCCCAAAATATTTCCACCCACTGGTGCTTGAGCTTTGAATGGAGAAGTGGGCCTGCGTGACTCATGAGAATTTTTTCCCACACAAATTCTGGTGTTTTTTTGTTTGGCTTATTTTTGGAACAAGTTACTGTACTAACGAAACCACTCACCATAACTCATAACTCAAGACAGATGACTATCAACGGTCATCTGTTGATTGTCATCCGGCAAACAAAGAGGCACTAAGCACGAAAACACAGGAATTCAACAACTTTAAAACTTTTTTTTTAAAGAATGTTAGTTTTATATGTCATGAAACATACTGGAAATCGTGTATTTTAGGTGATAGTTTGATTGAATAATTCCTGGTAATGAGTGGGACTTTTTCAGAGGGGATATCTGATTGTTTTTAGTTTAATCTCTGCACATGGAGACTTTACTCCCACCTGAGGTGGCTGCCAGCCTGCAGGCCGCTGCCTGCAACTGCAGGAGATCCGATCCGAGTCCAGCCCATTTCTGCTCGGTTTTTAGCCCTAAAGTAAAATCACATGATGCGTATTTTGTCATATGACACCGATGAGGGGGACTGCGAGCTAACCCCTCCGAGGAAAACAAAGACGACAGTCAGCCACTTGTCCGGGATGAGATGCTATAGACAAACCCTGGCCGGTGGAGGAAGTCGTTGATCTGCAGGATGGACTGTCGGGGAGTTCTACCTGCCATAGCCGCCGCCTGTTTACTCGGTAAGTTTCTTCCGCCTTCAAAGAAACGAGCCGGAATAGTCTGAGGACACTTTCTCTTCTCTGCATGAAATCTCGTTAAAGTTGGGGTAGTTTTTTTTTAAATCGCCGTGTAATCCGGAGCAGACTGGTAATTTAACTCATTAAAACGAGCAGTTCCGTTTTTGTTGTTGTTGTTCTTTTGTAGTATCATATCCCGAAATGAATTAAATCTGTGGATATTTTTTAAAGTGTTTCACAATCCGTTTGATTATTCTAAACTTTCCCCTAAAAATATAAATAAATGTTTAACTTCACTACCGGATATACAGTGATTTATCGTCCCTCCAAATTCCAAAATGAAGCCTCTTATACTTATTTCTACCTTTTTGGAAGGAAAAGTTTGCCATCGCAGAGGAGCAGAGACATCACATGATTTCTCCTTTCTGACTAATTGAATTTCATGAGAATGATGGCTCCTATTCAAGAAAGCGCTTGAGCACATGGCTTATGTGATTATCTCCACAATATGCCCTCTGTTTGCTGACATGTTGCCTATGGATTCTTTAAACAGGATGAATGTAACACTTGAGCTTTTGTAAGTTAAATGAAAATACTCCAATAACATGCTATATTGAAAAAAGGTTATCATTACTGTTTTTTATAAAGATGGCCCTCCAGATAGGCCTATGTGGAGTATACAGACTCCTTTTGGTTTCACATAGACTGGGAGTTTTTTGTTTCTCTGAGGGAGGAGGGTGCATTCTTTAAAAAAACAAAACAACATGCACAAAGTGGGACAGAGGAGCTATGCAGGAGGAAATAAATACTTTTTATGCATACATGATAAAGCAAAGGAGAGGAATGTGAATTATTGAAGGAAATGTTAGTCTTGCGGGTGTCACAGAAGACTTGGATCCTGTTTCTTTGTTTTTTTCCTTTTTTCGTGCTTCCACTGCAGTATTAATCATTGGAGATTAGACAACACATTCCAAAGTCCAGATTTACATGATCTTTTGCAACAGGTCCAAGGCCAATTGTCGAGGTTTCCAGTATTTGTTTTGTTTTTTTGCTCTTTGGGATATTCTTTGCCCTGACGAATCCCTCTCCTCCAGGTGTGGTGGTGACCCAGACCACCCTATCCCCAGCTGTCATAAGCACCGCTCTCCTGGAGAATGCCACCGGTGTGACTCCAACACCGGTGATTTTCAGCAGCACCACCCCCGGCTGCTTTGCTTTCAACGTCTCCAACTGTGAGCCCTGCGCCCCAGGATCACAATCCGACAACAGTGAGTCAGTCAGTGGATCCCCTCCAAATCTCTCTCTTCTTGTGTGCATTGTGTAAACGGTCAGCAAGTTCTAGACACAAGTGATCAAATGTATCATCTCATCCAAATATAAAAAAAATAAATAAAAACAACTGGAAAATCTCCTGTGTTCCTTAGACACACTGCTGTGCACGTGCTGTTCTGAACCTGGGCTGTGTGCGTTTCCTGGAGCATGTCTGCCATGCAAGAAGGGATTTTATCAGCCTCTGACCGGACAGCAGAACTGTCTGCCATGCGGTCGGGGCTTCTACACTAAGTAAGGACGCAGGATGCTGCAACACATTCGATTACTTCCCTTTATAGAGAGGAACTGGTCCCTCAAGTTGCTGTTTGATGATATTATTGTAACTTTTCAGTTTCACTGGAAGTCCCCTCTGTCACCCTTGCCCTGCTGGATCCTTCAACAATAATTCGGGCGGAGAAAGTTGCACAAGCTGTTCACCAGGTGTGTTTGTTTAGCTGTAGCTCATTGTTTTGTTGTAAATCAGTAACAGTAGAATAGTCACCTTTACCAGATCAATAACCTAACCATAGGTTATCGCCTGTACCTACGGCACTGATCCCATTCTGCTGCCCCATAACTGATTACTTTTTTCTGATGCTTTCAGGCTTCTTTTCATCGACGCACAGCTCGACTTCGTGCGCACCATGTGTGCAGGGAAGGTTTTGCAAGTAAGTGTCTCTTTGAATTTCACAGGACTTCCATTTCAGTTTCTCGTAGTTGTTTTTTTTCGGCCGCAGTATCTCAGAAATCTGAACTCTGTGAGTGTGTTGAAATGGAAAATCACTTATCTAACCTCCAAATTGAGCATCACATGCTTTCATCCCATGGTTCCGTTTGCCCCCTTGGATGAACACACACACATACATACACACACACACACACACACACACACACACACACACACACACACACA